TTACAGAATATCTGTGGGTGATAGAAAAATTATGTTTTCAGATTTGACTTCAGGTTATCAAACTGCATTAGAAACACCTAAAAATTTTCATGTCACAAATTATGTGTCTATCAGTGTATTCACTAAAATTCCTGTTGGTTAGTGAGTGTATTATCTTTAGGAAGGTGGTTTTATCAAAAGCACCTTCTATGTCTATGAAAACACCCACGGCGGACTCCTTATTGTCCAGAGATCTTCCTATCCGGCCAGCAACTAGATGAAGGGCTGAATCAGGGGTTCTGCCTGGGGTGTATGCATGTTGGTTTGGGTAGTGGTGTTGTAATCACCGCATCCCTTATGTACCTTTCGCACAGCCTTTCCAATGTCTTCATGGAAAACGATGTCAGACTAATTGGTTGGTATGGTCTTGGGACAGTGTAATCCATCCTTCCAGGTTTGGGTATAAATACCACTTTTACCTCTCTCCATTTTTGTGGAATATACCTCAGAGCCAACGAGGATCTGAATATACCCATCAGGTGCGGTGTGAGTTCTTCCAAACCCCACTGAAGTAGGGCTGGATAGATACCATCAGGTCCTGGCGATTTAAATGGAGAGAAGCTGGATATTGCCCATCTAATTTTTTCATCGTCTAAAATATGTTTGGCAGTTTGCTAATCATAGACAGATGTATTGTATTCTTCCTCTGCCTAGTCCGCCACGTCTGTGATGACCAAGTGTGTTGACAGCAGAAGTTTGATGGTATCTTCGAGGTTGGCAGTTTTCGTGCTATTCTCTTTGATTAGCGCACCAATGCTTCGGTGTGGATCTTTTGAGAGAGCTTTTTGAAGCCTCGCTGCCTGCGGGAAATCTTCGATTTCTTCGCAGTAGGATCTCCATGCATCTAAAGTAGAGATAATAATTAAGTAATAGAATAATAAAAACTAAAGTAGAGATAGTTAACATCTAATATATATTATATATTTTTACTTTTCTATACATGTGTGTTTTGTTTCTTTTCAATACAAACTATCATTTTCATATGTGGTCGTAGGAAAAATCATATTTACTTTGTGATTGTGATATGAAATGTGAATAAGTGATTGAGCCTGATTTATTTAGTTATGCTTGGAGGATCTGTATAAAAAATGTTTATACCGTTAATTTAAACCATTAATATTAATTTCTTCTATTACAGCTGAAACTCTCAAAAAGAAATGGGATAAACTGCGCAGGTGCTACATAAACGCGCTGAGTAGGCGTCGAACAAGAAGAGAAGATTCGATCAAAAACATACATCCTTGGAAATACGAATTGCAAATGTCATTTCTTTTACCTTTCATAGAAAGCAGGAAACAACATTCTTTAAATTTACCCAACAATGTTGAGATCTTTATAGAAGACAGTGATATCCAGAGTGAAAATAAATACGATACCGCTGAAGATCAGGATCAAAAATTCGACACAAGTTTATATGAAAACGACGATTCATCAAATTTGAGTGCAAAACTATCATTACCTTCTGTCAAAAGGCTCAAACTTATGAGATCTGATAATGCTTATCAGGAAGCTGTAAACGTATATAATGAAGATGTTAGTAATCGAAAGTTTAATGAGACATATTCAGCGACTTCTATTCTGGATATGGACGAAACTGATATGTTCTTTATCAGTATGTCAAAAATGACAAAAAAGTTAGCACCTATAGATCAAGCGAAAATTAAATTATTGCTGAGTAATGCTGTTTTAAGTGCTCAAATAAGCATGTCCGAAAATCAATCCGAAGCTTCAAATTCCAAGATGTGCTCAGATTAATCATTTTTAAAATAACTCAAGAGAATTGATTCCCAAGCAAAGTTTGTGTCAAGTTATTTTGTTACTACGGTAACCAGGTGACAAAATTACTTTTGTAAGAAATGATTCTATACTATTCTACTGAAGGCCTTCAATAATTCTGTAAGGAGAGCCAACAATTGTGTAATGGAAATGGAAAAGGCTGAAAGTGCCACAAAGTAAAATTTTCAGTATTCAATAAAAACTTCATAAAACTTATACTGTATCCTTTAAAAATCTATAAAATTCATTAAAAATGCAAAATATATTTTTATTCGTTTTTCAAGAGTTGTTTTTTTTTTATTGTTCATATATAACTTGATTTTTTACGTGAAAAGCTGAAAGTGGCATCATATCTTTTTTTGGGAAACGCTGTAAGTGCCATACCTTGTTAGTTAAAAGGCTGGAAATCCAGCGTTCATTACACGTAGAGGATGAATGTTCATAGTGGTTTAAAAAATACAAATAAATATTATAAAAAATAAACTTATATTTTAAATAAAAAAGGCTCACAATCATGTACATATTGTCTCTTTCTTTCTTATCTTCTATTCCCCACCTTCTCCTTCTAGTAGTCCTCTAGAAGTCGTCTTCTGCTTCCTTTCCCGTTTCCTATGATTAATGAAGTTATAAAAAAGTTTGCTGGATGCAATTTTGTTTTCAAATCTTGATTTAAAGCATGGATTCTGGATTAATATTATTATTATTACAACAAAAACAAGAAAATTTACTGCACTTGTGACCGAAGATGAACATTTTGAATTTATGTTATGTTGGGAATTGGGTGTTAATACACTGCGACCTAAAAGATCTATTGTGTCCTCTTTTGTCATCAATGCACCAAGGAAATATCTCAATGCCTATAACAACCGTTCCAATCCTATTTTCTCAAGGAAGTGTAGGATTTGAAGTGGCTTCAAGTTAGGTAAATCTCCCTCTTCTATTTGATATTCTCCTAGATATAGTTCCCTTGGATTCTGGAGTGCTACACATTTAGTTGAGATTGGAATGAAGGTTTCGTCCTCCTCCTCACAGAATCTGCATTCACTATCCTCTAATACTCTCAGTTTAGTTAGGTGTCCTGTTAGTCGGCAATGCCCGGTAAGGATCTCTGTTACAATACGTAGCCTGTTCTTGCTCAGGCAGATGCAGGCTTCTGATCTTTTCTAGTTATATTCACCCAGAAGTATCTTGGCCTGTCTCAGCCCCAAGAGATTGTTCCAATTATCGGTTCTTCTACTGCCCAATTCTTTTTTAATCTCTCCTAATATTATGTTACTGCTGATACCGTAGAACGGCTCGGGTCCTACAAAGGGTGTTTGAGCCCATTTCCTTGCAAGACTATCTGCAATATCGTTACCCTGTATCCCGTTATGTCCCGGGACCTAAGTGAGAGTAACTATATTTTTCTCGCCAAGCTTATTTAATTATTCTAGGCATCTCCAGACCATTTTGGAGCTGATTACGTAAGATTTTAGCGCTTTGATGGCTGCTTGACTATCGGACATAATGATAATCTCTTGTCTATGATAGTTTTTCTCGATGTTGAACTGGATACACTTCTCGATGGCGTGAATTTCCGCCTGGAAGATGCTTGGGTATTTTCCCAAGCTTTCGAAGTGCTTGGTTCTCAGTCCATACACTCCTATTCCAGTTCCTTTTATGGTTTTGGAACCGTCCGTATACTACTGAATAGCACGTCTTTCGATTGCAAGCGCGACGGATTCTTGGATCCATTCTTTCTTGCAGCCCAGCTCTGTGGTTTTAAAGTTTCTCACAAAACTGTACTTTTTTTAGCATTTTATCCTGGGGCATGTCCCAGGTATCTTTAGTCCTGAAGTACGTAGACTTTCGTCTGATGAATCCGTTTCTGATCATTCCATATCGTGTCCTTTTTGCTACATTCTCTGTCATCAAATGTAGAGGGGTGAAGTTTAAGATCACCTCCTTTGCGGCCGTAGGACAGGTTCTCATTGCACCAGTAATGCAAACACAGGCTAGTTTTTGTAGCTAAACTAGTTCTGTTACTCCAGGCTATAGCCCCGTAAGTGATGATTGGTCTCACTATTGTAGTATACATCCATCGCAGTATGTTTGGGTTACATCCCCATCGTTTGCCTGCAATGTTTCTGCACACCTTAGGGCTTTTGTGGCCTTATTTACTACTTTCTTCTCATGTGTATTCCAGAAAAGTTTGTTGTCCAGGGTTAGGCCTAGATATTTGACTTCATTTTTCCATTCTATATCTATCCCTTCTAATTTAACGGTTTTGAGATTAAGTTTTCTTTTCCTTGAAAAATCTACTAGTGTTGTTTTTGTAGGGTTTATACTAAGTCCTACTTAATGGCATCATCTTTTGGTAAGTTCTAGTCCTCATTGGACTATATTACACAGGCTATTACTAAACTTGCCTCTAGCAAATATGACTATTTCGTCGGCATAACCCTGACAGTCAATTTGCTTAGAAGTTTGTCTACGGTTAGACTCTACATTAATGGAGATAGAAATCCTCCTTGTGGACATCCTCTGGTTGTGCAGATGGAGATGGTGTCCTGCCCTATCTGTGTCTCTGCAGTTCTCGTAGATAACAGCTGAGCCATCAATCTGGATTTTATCTACTCCTCTATATGCAAGTGCTCTTTTTACAGATTCGTGTGGCGTGTTGTCAAAAGCTCCTTCTATGTCTAGGAAGGCACACACGACCGTTTCCTTGTTTGTTAGTGCATCCTGGATTACGTCAGTCAACTGTACCAGGGCAGTTTCTGTAGATCCTCCTGCTCGGTACGCGTGTTGGCTGTGGTGGAGTGGCACCCTCCGTTCTGATATAATTATCAACAGCCTTCTCCATTGTTTTTAATACATATATGAGGCTGATTGGTCGAAAAGATTTAGGATGTGTGACATTCTCTTTTCCTACTTTTGGAATAGAGGTGACTCTGGCCCTTCTTCATGCTTCTGGTATCCCAGCTCCAGACTGCTCCGAGATAGCCGGATTATGTGTGGTAGTAATTCCTCCTGTGCCTGCTGTAGCAGGGCAGGAAATATTCCATCCACATCTGTCTTCTTCCTGCTCCTCCACTGCAGGCTGCTGAGGTCCATGGACAATGGCCCTGTAGAATTACTTGTCTTCTTCTTTCTCCAGGCATTCTATCATTCCCTCTAGATCCTTTTTCTTCTTTTGAGATATCTTATTTGAACTGAATTTTTGGTAACTCATCCACATCGGGAAGATCTTCAAGATTTGCATTTTTCTTTAGAACATCTACCTTGTCCCAAGTTACCATATTATCACTTTCCTTTACCAAAACTGATGCCACTTTTACAATACCAGGATTCTTGTGCGAAATACGAAAATGTAAAATTTTACCGATTCCAAGGTTTTTAGTGTTGAGGTACTTCTTAGCAAGCTCTTTGAAATCTGTAAAATCCTCAGTAGCAACAACATGTTCAAGATATTTTGGGACCATTGCTTTGCATGTTTTGCGCCGCTTTTCAGTGAGACCTAAGTCCCGGTCGCAGTTCATGTAACTATGTCCACCAACCAAGTACTTTAAATCTATTGAGCAATAAAACTCTTTTTTTTTACAAAGTAAATTACTGCCATTAAGAGGAACTGGTTCTTGTTTTGTGCTCCACAGTTGTCACACCATAAAACTAACCTTCTTCTTGTTAACAAGGCCTCAGAGGTAACAACCTTAAAGAAGCAAGATAAGATCTCATTGGCCCCTCGACCACCAATCCCTTCGTGCCACATACACATATATGCAAACCCATGGTTACTCACATGAATTCCCAAGTTGTAACATGAGAGCTGCTAACAGTAAAAAATATCACTGTGTGTGAGCATTGGTGCAAACATAACTTGTTGCAAGTCTGTAAATAAGCCGTTATTATTACTACTTGGAAGTTGTGATGATACGATGTCTTCCTTCATACACGCTTGTGCTTTTTCTGCTTTACTTTTATGGCATTTTCACTGGCTGCTGTTTGAGTTTGGACTTTAAACACGTCACGTTTCTTACAAGTGTCTGTTGCTAAACATTTGCATGTTCGTTTGGGATAAGTCTTGTTGAAAAACTTGAGCAAAGTTATTTTAGTTGTTGGATTTTGGGCTTTGAAAGATAAATATATGGTTTTTGTTTAGGCCCGGAGATAGAAACTCATTTGTTATTCTTTTACGGGAATAGTGGCTTTCATACCTGGGAAACGAATTAATGTGGTGTCGAACTAGATTGCAATCATTTTCTGTGAACTTAACTTTATGTTCATGTGAATGTGGATTCTGACCTTTAATATCTTTGTAAACCAAGCATCCCTGTTTCTTTTTTGTTTGAATAGTTTGTAGTTTCCTGGAAGCTACTCCGAAAATCTGACAAAATGTTTTACTACACACTTGAACATTTTTACACGAACCATAAGTAAAACTGCAAGAACGCCTACTTTCCTCTGGGTCATCGTAATTTCCATTACGCCTTCGGCCGACAGGTATAAGTTGCATATGGTTTAGTATGTAGGTACCTTGGTTTTGTTCATTAACTTTGTAAAAATATATGAACAGTAACTGTTTTTGGTCATGAGTCAAGTTTTTACAAAAGTACTTGCATGAGCAAGTGGCGACATCAGGGGGGTAAGTTTACCTGGTACTTTTTTCCTTTAATAGTTGTATAAGGCTGTCCTTTTTCTCGTGCTTTCCTCCTTTCTTTTCGAAGGTGGGCTTTCTCCGGCGGAGGGGTTTGATTTTCACTCATTTTGAAATCACAACAAATGTAAAGTTTTCACAAAACACACACTATAACAGCAAAAGTGCACAAACTATTAGCAGTACGCGAAAACGTAGGAACTACGTAACACTTGTTATTCGCACGCGCCAAAAGTAACTACTGCAATGGAAAGGCACATTCATCATGGCGGGTGGCACTTTCAACCTTTTTCACTGACGGTCAGCGGGCGCTTTCACGGTGCTGTTCTAGGAACTAGTAGGAATTTTTCTGGCACTTTCAACCTTCTCTAGGTTATTGGCGATGTCACTTACAACACATTCCATGCAAAAAATCGTTTTTTTTTTATTTTTTGGCACTTTAAGCCTTTTCCATTTCCCCTACACAATTATTGTTAACAAATTTTTTTGAAATACTAATTAAAATGGCAACATCAGCTGATCGTCTGCTGCATCCACCATTTTGATATCTTAATTTGAATTTACATAATTGAAAATAAATTTTGTTATAATAATATGAAATTAAACCCATTTTAAAACAAATGAATAACTTTTTTCATATTTTGACATATAAAATTAAATTTTTCGTGATCGCAGCAAGTAACAAGTTAAAAATAATATAATTTTGTTGTGTTTTTCCACCGCAACATTTCACTAAGGCGTGTTTGGTCCAAATGTAGGGCGGATAAAGATGCAGTTAATTTAATAATAGTGAATGATATTCGCAGAATAATTACTCTAAAATCTTACCATTACCATTTATATAAAACGGTTTAAAATAATATGTTTAATTGCATTTAAAGAGATCCTGACATAAAACAAAAATATTTTTGTAATAAATTTAAATGCATATTAACAACAAATTTTGGAGTCATTACACTTTTCTGACATTTAACCTGCATATAATTGACTTCTTCATTTATAGATCCTATTAGTTATGGCTCACCCTGTACAGGCAAGCACATAATCAACAGTGTATATTATGGAGTTCAATAAATACTACTTCCGGATGTATAACGCATATATTTAACAATTGAAAGCTTCTATAAAATGTAGAACAAATATTTTTACACAACCAATCGATGCCTTCAAAAAAACACATTAATTACCACTCTCCACCTAACTATGTATAGCATCAATGCATTATATACACTGATAAATATTTATACCGAACCATAACTCTTAGCCCGGATCACGATGGATCTTGAAGTTTAAAATTAGGACAAAATTTCTAACGTGGCGTCGTTGATTTAATTTAATATTTTATTCTATAATACCTACAGAAAAATGGAAAAGGAATACATTAAGGGGGCATTGTTACTTCACGTATGCTTATTATTGTTTTATGATTTTTTAACATAGGTATCTAATCAGTAATCGCGAGGACGACTCGGAGTTTTTCTATGACTCGGATAATTCCATAGGCGTGCTTAACACATTGGGATTATATTTTAAAATATTTTGTCCACGACCACTTAATAATAAATCAATATTCTACCTCCTAACTAAGAGCATATAGTACCCATATATCACGGAGTGAATTATGATAATTCACGCTTTTGTAATTCTGGCACATTCCGATAACTAAAGATAGGCGATACTTTTCATAACGATATTTTCTAGATCGAAAAATCGAAAAATAAAAAAATAAAAAAATCGAAAAATTGAAAAATCGAAAAATCCAAAATCGAAAAATCAAAAAATCGAAAAACCGAAAAAAAATCAAAAAATCGAAAAATCGGAAAAAAATCGAAAAATAAAAAAAAACGAAAAATCGAAAAATAAAAAAAAAACGAAAAATCGAAAAAAAATCGAAAAATCGAAAAACCGAAAAAATCGAAAAAAAATCGAAAAAAATCGAAAAAATTTAGTTTAATTTAGTTTAATTTAGTTTAATTTAGTTTAATTTAGTTTAATTTAGTTTAATTTAGTTTAATTTAGTTTAATTTAGTTTAATTTAGTTTAATTTAGTTTAATTTAGTTTAATTTAGTTTAATTTAGTTTAATTTAGTTTAATTTAGTTTAATTTAGTTTAATTTAGTTTAATTTAGTTTAATTTAGTTTAATTTAGTTTAATTTAGTTTAATTTAGTTTAATTTAGTTTAATTTAGTTTAATTTAGTTTAATTTAGTTCAATTTAGTTTAATTTAGTTTAATTTAGTTCAATTTAGTTTAATTTAGTTTAATTTAGTTTAATTTAGTTTAATTTAGTTTAATTTAGTTTAATTTAGTTTAATTTAGTTTAATTTAGTTTAATTTAGTTTAATTTAGTTTAATTTAGTTTAATTTAGTTTAATTTAGTTTAATTTAGTTTAATTTAGTTTAATTTAGTTTAATTTAGTTTAATTTAGTTTAATTTAGTTTAATTTAGTTTAATTTAGTTTAATTTAGTTTAATTTAGTTTAATTTAGTTTAATTTAGTTTAATTTAGTTTAATTTAGTTCAATTTAGTTTAATTTAGTTCAATTTAGTTTAATTTAGTTTAATTTAGTTTAATTTAGTTTAATTTAGTTTAATTTAGTTTAATTTAGTTTAATTTAGTTTAATTTAGTTTAATTTAATTTAGTTTAATTTAGTTTAATTTAGTTTAATTTAGTTTAATTTAGTTTAATTTAGTTTAATTTAGTTTAATTTAGTTTAATTTAGTTTAATTAAGTTTACTTTAGTTTATTTTGATTTGTTAATTCTGCCAAAAATCCAATCTACTATTTCAAAATTTTATGATCACCCTGTATATTTAAGTAAGCAAACTAATAAAATATTTTAACAACAAACCTTACAATTTTATTTAATTCAAATGGTACAATGTTCAAAATGAAACCATAGTTCAAAACAATTTTCTAACTTCTAATATATAACTATTATATCAATAAACATTCACTCCAAACATTCACACTTTAGAAAAGAAAAATTAATTATTATTTAAAGTAAAAAAAAAAAATAAATACCGCCGTCACTTCCTTTCATGCTTGAAAAGTGTATTTAATATTGAGGTCTAGCCTTCCTAGCTTGACGACTGTCACCAATAACAAATATGTTTTTAAAATTATGATTACGGCTGGTATTTATTTTTAAAAATTTAAATAATGAACCTCTATGCTAATATTTACAATATCAAAGTGATTTTTTTTTACTTTGTCCTGCACTTCTTTACAGTTTCTTTATTAACACAATTATTAAAATGTTTTAGTACTCACAGTTCTATCTTCAATACAGATATTCTGCAATTGATTGCAGACTGGAGACTGGGGCTCTGCGAATGTCCTTATTGGGTCCTGGTCCACGTTTCAACACGATTTTGCCGCAAACTTACTCAAGGGTTCAATATACAATGGTTGTTACCTTCATATAGGTACACATTCAATAAATTTGCTTACTTAACTCATCTTCTACGTCATAATACTTTAAAACTCTAACGGTATTTCTTATATTTTTTACTGAATCAATATTTTTTTTTTTTTAATTGAAAAATACCCAGACAAAATTGGCTGTCACCTTTTCAAAAAAAAAAAAAACCGTCATTCCCCCTTTTTTTGACAACTTTGTCGTTTTTATCGCTATCAAATGTATGCTATATAGGGTGTTTCTTTATTATATCTTATAACAATTTTTTTATATTATTATTGTTATTATTATTACTAATATTATTATTTTTGTTATTATAGTAGTTAAGACCTATATTCCTTTCATTGCAATATATTTCTATTATAATACAATGTAATGTTTCTGCTTTTTGTATTCTAATAGAAATATATATTTGTATAAGTATATAGGGTGTGCCTTTCAAAAGTAGCCTCTGTAGCCTCCTCGTAGACTAGGCCTCTAAGACTAACCTATAAATTAAATTTTAATTAAAGTACAAATAATATACATAAATTAGAGAAGATAAGAAACAGAAAACAAACAAATATAACATTGCAAAATTAAAATAATTTCCAAGAAACTTTTTACATTATCTCGAACAAATTTTAATTCTGTTTTCGATGTAGATTCTAAGAGAAGAAACATAGTTATTTAAATCGAACTGGCGCCCATGATTATTTAGTTTGCATACTGTAAATTTGGTACTAAACGGATATCTTCTCCACTCGGAGCGCAACCAGCTGCCAACGGCTGTTCAACGGATAGACGAAACTTCTGCGTTACCTTTAGCCATCCTTAATAGTTGTAGCTGCCTTTGCAGTTTTATTTTGCAGGTAAATTATAAGGTAGGTAACAGATTATTGTTCCACATTATTCTGTCCAAAAAAGATATAAAGAAAAATCTTTCTTTTTTAATAGACATAGAAATCGTTTAAAAAATAGTTGCATTTTTTGTCACACTGGTCATTTATAAACGATGTACAGCAGTCATTTATTTTTCTTAATGTAAGGAGTTACCACTGTAAGGCGTTACATTAGAGTTTGTTTGTATTTTTTACTTTAATCTCTGTTGTTATGTTTAATTGTAGTTCAGTTAGCTAGGTAATTATTTTCAACGGTGTTTTGTTGAGTGTTATAGTTGTTTTGTTTTCTATTAAAATTTGACATTTAACCTAACAATTCTAATGTGCACTGTTATGTTTATTCCGTATATTAGGGACCGTGCGTCATGACTTTAACGCCAACTGGTGACAAAAATGTGAATTTTATAGGGGGATTTATTAATGTTTTATACGGCATTTATTGTTTAGTAATTATTAATTAAATAAATTCGAATTATTTTCGTAATATCATTATCGAAAAAATTTGTTGCATACGTGGATGTACAAACACATCACTTTGGAAACCTGGATTTGATTCGATAGTAAAGAAATTTTATAAATTTCCACAAAAAACTTAGTGCTTCACACCCAATGATATACATAATTACATAGATTGCTTATCAATATGTAAATCAGACGGCGAAAAGCGTATTTCAATGGGCAAAGTTTTCTTTTTTATCTATCTTGTATTAATTTTGAGCAGTTAGTTGAATATAAATTATTTACAGAACCGGTTTAGAAATTAGAATCTTTAGTGGTTTTTTGACATTAAGATTTTTTATTATTTGATCTGCAAGCATTCATTTTATTATTTTACATTCAAGCAATCACTTTATTATTTGTATCCATTTATATAATCTTTACCTTTCCTAAAATGCTCTTCCTAAACGACGTCTATCCTACAATACCTCCTATCCCGAAGGTGTCAACGTCTCGACGCCCAACGTCCCTCCGTCCTACTTCCCTATCTTTCAACGCTATCACTTCTAACACCACTTTAGTATTTCCTACCATTATATTCATCCCGACGCTCAACGTTTCGACGCTCAACGTCCAGACGCCTTACTTCGATAAGTACCGTATTAAATACCTTCCTCTCCACCACAACGCTAGGCGCCTCGACGCAAGGCGACGCTCAACGTTGCGATGTACCTAAATCGACGCCGTCACAACGCTGGATGAAATAATCTAATGTCTGTATTGTCAATGGTGAGTCAAAAGATTTATGTAACTTCCTTTGAGATACCACCGGGGTCGTTTAGACGAGGGCCTGATATTTGCTTCAAATATTAATGTAACCAACAAACCATCTGGCCTTCAGGTCATACACCCCGAAAAACAGTTAGGATAGACATCTGTTTTCGATGGGTGAAATTTTGAGTATTTCAATAGAAAAAATAAAAATCAATATTAAGAAATATACAGGGTTGAATTAAGTTATTTCAAATAGAAATTAATAAAAATCAATATTTTAGAAATATACAGGGATGCGCTATCTTGAATAAATCGTACAAATCTAGATAGTAAAATTTAACAGTAAGTTAACCAACTGGTGAATACACTGTTCGTTAGCTCAGGGGGGTCACCTATATGCTAAACCACCCATCCTACAAGGTTTGAAACAAAGTATACGTGAAATCAACATAGTAGGGTAACCAATTGGCGAATTGGGGCTGTTCGTTACTTCCGTAGGTCATCACTTCTAAACGCGTCGAAATATTTACCTAAGAGGATGCAACCTGTGTATATCTAGAATAGAATACCAATTGTAATATACTTTGCTTATTCATCACATTTAAAGTATGAAAAATAAAAGAGTTTAAATATAAATTTGTCTGGTTTTATTTATCAATTTGCACCAAACTTTGCATCGAATCCTGTTTTATCGTAATTAACATTATTACTAGACGATCACTTTTACTACTAGAGGAAAAAGGCCAAATATAGTAAGTATAAACTAAAATAAAATAAATTTGTGTGGTAAATAATAACATTTCAGAGAATACAAGTATTAAAAATGTTAAAAAACCGACTTCAAATACGTGCAGATGCCATCACCACATCTTAACCAAATTTATATGCGATCACCCCTCAGATACCCGCTTACTAATAAAAAAATAATCATATAAATCGGACAAGGTGGTAAAGCATTATCGCTAAACATACATAAAAAGTGAAGAGTATGAGGATTTTCTCATGGACTTAATTATTAGATTTTTACCAAATTTATATAGGACCCCTGAAGTGCCTCCTTTCCAACAAAAAAAGAATCATTAAAATCGTACACCATGTTAAAGAATTATCGCTGAACATACGAGTACATAAAAAAAATATTGCGACGAATTGAGAACCTCTTCCTTTTTTGTAGTCGGTTAAAAATAACGATCAAAATGGGATACTGGGGGTGGACCAGCAATTTATATTATATTTTGAAATAACAATTCTGTTTTGTTTTATAAGACAGTTTTGATAGATTTTAAATTCAAATTTTGTAATTATCACTATTATTGACATTAAAAATAACGATCATATTACTTGAAAATCTTTAGAACATTTTTTATTTTTATGGGATTTTTAATCGATGTAACAAAGTAAAATAGTTATTTCAGTCTGCTTATTGCCTGGTTCCAAATAATTAAATATAACCTGGCAACTATAGAACGAATCCATAGCCGGAACAGGAATGGTGCGCACAGGCGCATTTCCAGACCCTTCAACTACAACATTACTCTTTCAAAATACATAATAACGTGTCATGAAGTTAGTAATTATTTTCTTTTCTAAATTTTAAAATGCTGAAATTTTATTTTAAAGCACCTATGAGTTAAAACGGCTCTATTTAGTGGGCACTAGGAAAGGCAATATAGTAGTGCACATTGCAACCCGCTGTTCATGGTCTTTTATAGATGGGTGAGCAATCTATATAATTGTCTACATCATTGGGTGTCTCATAAACGTCTAATGGTCACATACTTTGATTACTATACGAGGCAAGAGAGAGGTCCGACACGCCCAACATAGGGCGCGGCCATTTTGAACCCTGTGACACAGTTAACAGCTAAAGAATCAGATCGCTCACTCTGCGTCGGCACTTTTGATCTCAATGTTTCAGTTTATACACTGTGCAACTCGGATAATACAATATATGACAACCGCCTATAATAAAACAGCAGTCTTCTGCGTATCCTGAATTTGTATCCCTGGAGTGGATGTTATTTTGGAACTTTCAAGTGGTCCGAGTGAGCTAACTGATTCTTTATCAATAAACTGTGACTCCAAAAATAATATTCACTGACACTGACAGCAGCAAGCAAAATATCAAGTGCGTTTTAATCATCCGCTTCTGATTCAGGAATTGTCGGTTTAGTCGTTTTATCCTGTCAGATTAAAACAAGAAAACCGACAATTCCGAAGCAGAAGCGGATGATTAAAACGCACCTATTAAAAATATTGCGCAAAAGGCACTCAGAAAGCTGCGCAGTGCGACCATTCTCCGTATAATAAAAGAAAATCAAAGTATGTGCTAATGGTGGATGAATGATATTTTGACTCACATAAATCTAAAAAGAATTATTATTATTCTCAATCTTTTTTATTAATTTACATTTTTTAAACGTTATTGTATTACTTTTAAATTCAGTGTTACTAAATACCGATATTTTGACATTGGATAACTTGCTTCTTGCTTGAGGTACAAATTTATTATCACTTAGCCATCTAAACTTTTTTGCTCAAAACGTCCAGATTTTAATAATTTTTCACATTTTATATTATTTTGACCATGTACACGATTGTTTGTTACGGGCCGGTATCTAAACTTACCTATATTGAATATTTAAAAATATGTCATTTGTTATTTACTTGCAATGTTTATCCCATTTAATTCTAAAATGAAACACTAGAGAGGGCTAACTTCGGCAGTAGTGCTGCCTTTATATTACACGTGTTATGTTTTCGGTTAAATAATTAAAAAAATTGTACAATTAAGAATAAATTATATATACCAATATTATAACCTTCATTTTTCCGTTATTGTTCTATTAAATTTAAATGAGTAAACTTGTGCACTAGCTTGTTTAGTAACGCGTTACTTTCGGAAAATAACGGTAACGATTAGGGGTGAGATTACAGAACGTCTGCAACTTTGCAGATCTGCAAATATGGCGGACTTACAAATGCAAGTATCAAGTTTTCGTATTCCAATAAATATCTACGAATTAGCAAAATTTATTGTGGTTTATTGCGAATTTGCAGATATTTATTGGAATACGAAAACTTGTTACTTGTATCTGTAAGTCCTGCAGATCTGCCGCCATATTTGCAGATCTGCAAAGTTGCATACGTTCTGTAATCTCACCCTAGGTATCTAACGCTTTACTTTGCAATAAAAGTAACGCCTTACTTTTTTAGTAGCGATCCCAGGTCGTGTACATGCTTGGCCGTACATTTGATAATCTGGCCCACTGTGCTCACAGAACCCGAATTTTATTTTAAAATTCTTCGAGTATTAGTAATGCCAGATGTTGGCGATCAAGCGTAGTGCGATTTTCTCTGGAAATTAATTTTTCCGAAAATCATCGAAATATATCGCGATCAATGTACCTAAATAACAACTTAAATTTTGGATTTTAAATGCATTCTTGTTAATAACATCGTATAAATGTTGGTTTTTCCAAGAAAAGTTTGACCATGATCCCGTTCTGGATTGGTATATTTTTGCTAGAAGTAAAGGTAAGTTTATTTGTTTACGCCTTACTTTTATTTCGGTAAACTTCGGTTGTTGTTTAGTTTGTGACCAGAATAAAACTGGACAACTTGTTATTATTTAACTTTATGGTGTTTTATGTTTTACATGTTTTTGATAACACATGACATAAGTCTGCGTCGTCTATATTAATAAACCTAGCACAATATTTATTGCTGCTACTTCTAATGTTTAGTTATGTTATATAGATAAACTGTAGCTTGGATTATAATTTATTTTTACATTACATGTTATGAATTTTGGAAAATTTCGACAAGCTGTGACCGACAATTTTCATTATACCACAGCAGTTACTATTCGTTATTTTTGGAGCACAATTGTTTTAACAAATCCACGTTTACTAAATGTTTTTTAAATGGCCATGACTTCTTTACTATTGTTGATTATTAGCATCTTCTCAGTTTTAAATACTTCTTTTTGGACTTAAAATATACATCATAGTGGTAACGGGTTTCGTCGCATGATACAATGCTCATAACCACCAGAGAAGATTCTTTGGTAGTTTTCTATATTTTTTTTGCACTAAGCCATTCTCGTTGGTAATCTAGTGGTGGTGTAAGAATAGCTAGTTAAACCTCGCCCTTGCTAATTGTACGGTGCATTACCCACAGTGAAAAAGTTTCCGAACTTCTAAATATTCATGAGTGCCAAAAGTAAGAGACCTATACCCATGGGCGTCGTTACGCAATTCTATAGGGAGGGGAAAAATTTTGAAAAAATTTAGAATGTTTATTTGTTGGAAAACAAAGAAAATGAAAAATAAAAGAGAATTATCTTATGATGGATTTAATTATTCTGTGACGTCATGGCTTACTTCCGGTTTTTCCAGAAATAACAGAAAATCGCAATTTATTTTTTATTTTGAAATGAAAACCCTTTTTCTTATTGTAAATTTGAATTTCTGATGCATTTTTGTATAAGAAGCGTGTATTGAAAATTTTCTGTCAGTAACATATTAAAAAAAATATTTTCCCATATGATGGTCATTTTGACAGCTGACAGAAAATTTTCAACACATGACATACATACATGTCTCTGAAATTCAAATTTTCAATAAAAACGGGGGTTTTCATTTTCTGTTATTTCCGATAAAACAGAAGTAAGTCATGAAGTCACACACCAATTGAATCCAGTATATGAGAGTATTTGTCCCAACTTTTTAATCAAATAAGTTTTCATTCCAATATCTCAATTAACAACGAAGATAAAAGAGGATGGAATTATTAAATGGATTGCTAATAATAAAAATGCTTTGATACGCCACTGATATACGGTAAATGGGTCTCAATGTGAATTTTGAAGCCTAAAAAGATTTTATAAAGTTCGTACATTCCTATATGTTTTTCCATAAACGAATTAATTGTAACATATTTAGAAAAACTATTATCCAATATGGTGGCCATTTTGACAGCTGACAGAAAATTGTCAATACATGATTATTATACAAAAATGTCCGAGAAATTTAAATTTACAATAAAAAAGAGGATTTCCTTTTAAAAATAAAAAAAAAATCGATTTTCTGTTATTTCCGGAAAAACCGGAAGTAAGTCAAGACAGAACAATTGAATCCATCATCTGAAAGTATTTGTTCCAGTCTTTCAAACACAACAAAATTATTCCGATATTTCACTGAATTTCGAAGATAAGGGGGAATTGAACTTTAGTAGTATCCTTAAAAATGTCACGGACCTATTTGACAGAACTGATACTTAAGTTGTCATAACAAGTCTCTAATAAATAAAATAACCCAACAAAAGAGACAAAAACTAAAATAAAGAAAAAATAAGAAACTTAAAACACATTTTTAAAAGACAAAGAGGTGTGATATAAAAAAAATATGAACAAGAAGACACAGCCATACATAACAATATAAAAAATAAAAGTTTATAAAAAAACAAAAACATAAAAAACTCACTCAAACACGATGATGATCACAAAAAAAACACTAGAAAACGCAAATTTTATTTTTTTCTCTACTAAAAACATCGATAACAAAAAACAATTTATTTTTCAGTATGCCTATTTTCATTCATTATTCGCACCGTGCGTGACAGCAGCGCCAACTATTTTATGAACTAACGGACGATATTTGCGTATACTGACAATACAATTTTTAATAGAGTTCGTAATTAAAAGATATATTTGTTAATTTTAATAAAAGTATAAGGATTTGTAAAACAAGTAAAAAAATTATTATATATTTTTATTTCAGCTAAAAAAAGTAGTATAATCAATAAAAATCAATAATAAAACATAAGCAGGTATTTACGAGAAAATTTATGAGATCTTGCCTAAGCCTAATAAGTTGTAATTGAAAAATAGGTTAAATAATGTCAAAATAAAAACATTACCATTATATAATAACGTAGAATTAAAACGTATTAACAAACATAATTGGTATATTTGCGATTGTAATTTATATTTTCTTCATTTTTAGTTCGAAAGAACCCATAGTAGTTAATGATTAAAACTGGTTTCCTATCAGTAAGTCACAAGATTGCATTTCAACCATATACAATAATCAAAGGCAGAAATCTAAACATTTAAGATTTAAGGGACGTTGAAGAATATCATAAAATAATAATTTATTGTTTATTTAAAACCTTCTCTGATATCTATTATTTCCAGTATTACTGGTATTACAAAAATAAAGATTTTTTTCCTCTTATTATACAGTTGTCCATTTATCCGGTTGCTCATTTTAAAAAATTACAAAATATCGCCCTAAAGTACTCGAATTACCCGCAGCTTGCGTTAGTATCGCTTTTGCTTCCTTTACCATGACTTCGCACTGATCGAATAGACTGCAGCCATCCATGTTTTAACATGCCTTAGCGTGCTAAACGTTCTTTCGATTAACTCTGTCATTGGTGGAAGAGCCATAAATATTTTTTAAACCACTTTGTATGTCTGGATAAATTCACAATGTTTGGACGCTATATCATCAATGGAGAAGCTCATTGTGTGCAGAAAGCTCTTTCGTACTCCAGTTTTGTATTCAGCTTCAAAATTGTCGATTCCAAATTTTTCCTCTACTTTCATTTTCTAATCGGTAGTGAAAAAAGTATTATTTTTTATGTTTTTGGGAGCTACGGAAAAGCGTGATGTAAGCGACGTAATAAGAGAATCCAGATATGCAATAAATATATTCAATCTATAATATTCTTCAACTATATTAGCCTGAATATTGTTATTTCTATGAGATTATTGTTCGTAATGCATATCTTACGTGTTGTTGATTAAGTCGCAAAAGCCAGGGGGGACAACTGCCCCCCCCCCTCCCCCCAAACTACGCCCATGCCTATACCAACTATATGTTGGGACGCAATGTAGTATTATACCTACTCGTATTAACATTATTTTCAGTACATGAACATTTAAAAGGAAATCATCTGTTTATACTTTTAAATACATTTATTTATTATACATTTCTCAAGTATTTGAAAAATGTTTTCTACACCCACATGGATATTAGCTTATCTACGCACAAACTACAAAACGAAAAAGTATGTAATTGCGTTCAACGGAACGAATATATTTCATATCCATTCTAGGTAGTGAGAACACTGCAAAAAAATGAAATCCACCAATCACAGTTCATATTTTGGACACCCAACTATTATTTTTAAAATTTTAAATAAGTAACAAACTAATTGTCGGTATATTTTTTAATTATTAAGATTAAATATACATTAAAATGAGTTATTTTTGTGTAGAATCAATAAATAATCGTAAATAATAGCATTTCTATTTTTATTTGAACCATATTTTGAAAAAAAAAAAAAAATAAATTGTATTCAAACTATATAAAACTATTTTAATTAGTATTAGTATTAAAACCAAAATCGTAAAAGAGGCCGTAGAGGCATGAACAGAGTGCTTGACTTCCATGCGAAAAGCCGAGGATCGAATCTCGGCCGGCAACAACTTTTTTTAAATTTATTTTATTTTAAAAATCAGTAAAATTCATAAATTATTTTAAAATTAGTTATTTAATCTTAATAAGCTAAAATATTTTTTTAATTTTGTAGATTTCCGTTAGTGTGTCGTAGAAAAAATATACTGTACAACTCAAGTGGATTGTCCATACCACTCTTGTTGCACAAACTACTATTTCAGATTTGGATTAATTCCTGAGCAATGTCAAAAATAAATCATTCAGGGTTTGGTAATGATGACACGGGTGGTAACAGTGTTTATAGATGGTATAAGCAATTTGAACATTTATTTTCAATAGTAGGTGTCCCTATACTATGCGAAATTATTATTGCACAATATAGTGAAGGAAAATCCCTAATGAAAATAGCGACTAATCTGAAAATGGTCAAATTATCAGTGGAACGGAATCTATTAAAATTAAGTTTATAAGTACCGGTAGACCAAAAATTATAACAGAAAGATGTAAAAGGGGTTTGGTAAAAATTTGCAAGCACATCGAAGAAGGACTTTAAGAGAAACAACTGCCTTGTGGAATCAATATAACACTTTTAATATGCCTAGGGAGTGTGTTTGCTATGTAAATATACATTAGTCAATAAGTAATTGAATTAATTTCGTAAGTAACTTATTTATCAGGCCCAGGAAAAAGCTCTATTGATTGATAACTGCAGCTCAAAACATTGGGCAAAATGCAAGAAAAATTGGACTTTGGACGACTGGAAAAAGATTACATTCAGTGATGAGTCTAAGTGTATGAGGGAAATCTTTCATATAGATTGTCCTAAAAGATCAGTCTAATTTGCAAAAGGACAAATGATATGGGGTTGTATGTCTGCTAGTGGTTTAGGAGAACTAGAGTTTATTGACAGTTATCACTGTCAAATATCAGGAGATTGTGGGAAATAATTTATTGTCAAGTATTGTTAAATTATGTGGAATTGTCAGCGATTTATTTATTTTTCAACAGGATGGTGCTTCGTGCCATGCTGTGCGTTCAACTAAAGAATGATTTGTGCATAGACGCGATGGACTGCAGCAATGACGAAACTTGGTCGAATCGAAGATTCTAGACTGGTCTGGACGCTCTCGATCAGGTCTAGCTAGACCCGCAGTGTTGCCAGTCTAGTAAACTTGTACTAGATGTAGTACATACTTTAAGAATCTGTACACTCGAAGCAAAATCTAGTACTTTTTTCAGTGTATGTTTCCGATTGACGTGTAAAATATATTGTTGGGGTCTTCCTTGTTTGTGTTCTTTCTCTATAAAGCTTTCTTTTTTACTCTTCAATGAACCAAACCACTTCACAATTCGAAAAAAACTGATTCATTTTTTAAAATCTGGTACACTCATTGGCATCAGGATTATGCGCAGTATATAATTTGGGGTCCTAATAAGCTACGGCGCAGAATCCTGGTGGCAATGACTGGTTGTTGGAACAAACCTAATTTAGACAAATCTGGTACATAACGAAAACATATTTTGGCAACACTGTAGCCCCATTTTGTATATAAATAAGCTGTTGCGTTGTTGGAGGAACAGTTTATAGACAGAAGTTGAAGATAAATATCCGAGTAGTAGAGATAAATATTGTTAATTTAAATTAGTGTATGAAATATAAATCAGCTTAGTTCTAAGTACAAATACATTTAGTTAGTGTTTTAGTGAATGTAGTTGTAAATAAATTAAAATAAATAAAATGTTCTAAAATAAATAAAAGCTACAGTATTATGTTGGCCGAAAAACAGTCCAGACTCAAATGTAATCGAAAAAGTTTGGCAAGAAATGAAAAAATACCTTCGAAATAATCCATAAAGAACAATAATGCGTTTAAGAGCTAAATTAAAACAAATCTGGGAAACCATAACCACTGAATGTTGTACATAGCTTGTGAATAGTATGCCAAATCGTATTCAAGTCAAAAGGAGATGTCACAAGTAATTAAAATTTGTTTTTTTTATATTAATTTGCTGAAGCGTTCTAATATTAAGTTTCCAACACTAATTAATATTTTTGTATATTTAATAAGAGTTCAATAGTAGTTTGTGCAACAAGAGTGGATACGAACAATCCATTCGAGTTGTACAATATATTTTTTCTACGACTCACTAACGAAAATCTACAAATTAAAAAAAAAATATTTTAGGTTATTAAGACAAATAATTTATGAATTTTACTATTCGCGTGGAAGGTTGATTGTTTTGTCCACAGCTCCACGGCCACTTCTATGATTTTAATTTTATTACTCGTAAATAAATTAGTTTCACACAGTTTGATTAAAATTTAATTTTTTTTTTTCAAAATGTGAATCAAATAAAAATGCTATTATTTATCGATTCTAAACAAAAATAACTTATTTTAATATATATTTAATCTCAATAATTAAAGAAATATTGATAGTTTGACAGACTTGACACTTATTTAAAATTTTAAAAATAATAGTGATTGGGTGTCCAAAATATGAACTGTGATTGGTGGATTTCATTTTTTTTTTCAGTGTTCTCACTATTTAGAATGGATATAAAGTATATTCGTTTAGTTGAATGCAAGAGCATACTTTTTCCTTTTGTAATCTGTGTTTAAATAAGTTAATATCCATGTGGGCGTAGAAAAACTATTTTGATTCTTCTCTAGATATTTGTATTTTTTTTTAAACTTGTATTCTTATAATTTATAACAAAATTTTAATTGAAATTAATAAATATTTTTGTTTTCAGGGTTTAATAAGTTTATCGCTCAGTTCCCAACTGGATTCAGGTAAAATTATACATAAAAAGTCAGGGTCGAAAAAAGGGGGGCAAGAATGATTAATCATAACAAACATGAAAATTTAGATCAATTTAGTTTATAAAATGCAATAATAAGCACATAATAATGATTACCATCCACAAAGTTGAAAATTTAGATGATTACTATGTTATTAAGGATTAATCCAGTATTTGTTTCTTTTCAGTTGTAGATGTAACCAATGTAAACCTTTCAAGGAACGTCAATAATGAAAATAACAACGAATCAACTGTAATTGAAGTTTTTAATTTTGGTATGATAATAGTTGACATTTTCGGATCAAAAAATATACAAATTTTTTTTTAGATAAATGTGATTGTTCTTGGAATATACTCTCCCTTGAATTTTTCAAAGGAAACGAATATTTATTAACATTTTCACAAGATGCTCCAGAATGTAGAAATGAAATAGTACAAATAGAATAGTAAGTAGTTGTAATACATATTTTTAACAAACTCCAAAAAAAGAGGAGGTTTTCAATTCATCGGACTATTTCTTTTTGTATGTTCAACGATAATTATTCTTTAGATTATTTCGATGATTCTTACCTCAAGGGTGTTCCCGTATAAATTTAGTCATTGTTGATGGGATCCATGAGAAAATCATCAAACTCTTCATTTTAGAGTCGGTTTTTTAAAATTACTTTTGTTGATTTAAAATTATTTTAATATGGGTAATATAATCATTTATCCTCATTTTTTTAGCATCTATAACAAGACAGGCCAGAGGTTTCAAATTTTGAATAGTCATTTTTTGGACGATGGTCTTATCATTATTGTGGAGAGTTTGGTGGAAAATGACCTTTATACACTGTTTATGACGTATAGGTCGAATTGTTCCAATTGTACAGTTGTATTAGAATTTAAAGCACCAGGTAAAATATTAAACCTAATTATAAATATTTGAATCTCACAAAAAAATCTCTAAAAATTATTTTTTCAAATTTTGACATATAAAGTAACATTTTTTGTAACTGCAGCAAGTGTCAAATTAATCTACTTTATGGTAGGTATTCCTGGTTCCATTGCACTTTCGGACAAAGTCTTTTACTCTCTCAAAATGTATCCCTGTAGCATGCATGTCGATTCTAGCTTTTGTTTTATCGCTGTTGACTTTCAAACGAATCTATGGACCTTTTTTGCCATTGCATAAATCACATTTTAATCTTCTATATCCTGTCGGCAATTGACCCAATAAAATATTTCCTGAACTCGTACTAGTGTCCTTTTAGCACCAAAATATCTCCCAATTTTAACATGTGATTTTGGTAGTATTAATAGACGGACTATATGTACTCCAACCAGGCTCTCCCACTTCCGATGCTATAGGCCATCGTGAAGATATAGGAAATCCAACTGAATCCAGTACCCTTTAATAGCTCTACTATTATTGACTATCGCTTGCCAAGTAGGTCTGACTTTATTTTTAAACCTTCATAGCATTGTCCTTCTTTTGTCCCTTACTCAGGCTTTCAAGAGTGATTCGTCGCCCTCTGGCTTAATAGTGGTTGCCTGAAGACTAAAGGTCGATTTATAAACTTGCAGTTTCCGTCACCGTTACCGTTCACGTTCCTCTTTCTGTTTGACGTTACAGTCGCCGTTGATATTCATAATTTATAAAACTGATGTTTGGCGCCGTTATATGATGGGTAGATATTAAATTAAGAAGAAAAGAAGAAAAATCTAACATTCAATCAGATTGTTGCGCGATTTTCGTTTTGAAATTTCCTTAAGTGCCTTTTTTAATTGAGAAAAATGAATAAAGTTAATTATCTATTTAAATATTCTTGGAATACTTCTGTGTTTTCTCAAACGTCCAGGCCTTCTATTGGTTAATATGCGAACGGCACGAACGGTGAACTGCAGAACTTTAAACTTTGTTATGTTTGAACGTCAGGGAACGTCATGTGCAACAGCGAACGGTAACGGCAACAGAGAATATAAGTGCGCACATGTGAAAGTAGCCTTTTTAACTTCCAATGGGAACTGCAACTGCAAGTTTATAAATCGGCCTTAACTTCTTTAACTGGTTTATCTCGTTCTTCGAGCCTTTCACAGTACTGACATTATCATTCTAAACAGGGTTGCCTGGAAAGAATGTCTGCGTTGCTATGGAGACGGCCTGTTCAATGTACTACTTCCTGGTTATTGCTAGAAAGCCGGCTAGGTGTGGATGACCGGTTTCACCAGGAAGCATATCTGCTGTAATTCTTTCTTCTTGGACTCCATGACTGGCTTTTAGAGAGTAATCTAGGTGACTTTCTGGCCTTATTCCCTGATTCTCGATTTATAGAACTAGCTCTGCTACTAGAGGTTCTTTGAAGGTGTCCAATTCTTCCGCAATTGAAGCATCTTCTGCTTTTATTTTTCTGTTTCGTTGCATGTTTTGCAGGATGTTTAAGATTTGCAAGAACGTAGGTTGGGGAATATTATTAGTATTAGCCTTTTCACTTTCTTAATCACAATCAGTTTCTCCCTCAGCGTCTTGTACTGTTGTAGCCATAGAGCTTGCTGCATTTCCACTTCTTGTAGTCCATCAATGAATGCATGTAAGCCGATTGGTTCTTGGAAATCTTGGGCTGTCTGTGATGTAGCAGTTTTTTTATTGGCCTTGATTTGTTGTAGATTCTCATTATGTTTCTGCCTACAAACCTTTATCTGGGTATGGAATACCCGTTTTAAATGCTGTTGGCCACACCTTGTCTCCAAGTCTTGGACAAGAGAGAGAGGAATAACTGGGTTCCTCTTGGGGAAGCAACTGTAAAACAGTTGCTTCCTTTCCTCGCAGGGACACTATTAATCAAGCCGCCATCTCTTACTCGGCCCAGCCATTGGCTCTGGCTGTAGCTTCCCATGTTGTCTGTTCGTCAAATGTGGGTGGCTTAATGATCTTCCTAGTATGGTTTTGTGTGGCTGGGTTTTGAACGTGGCTTGGTTCGGTTATAGATGAAGACAAGGTAGTGCCTTTCCAACTCTACTTTACCCTTTTCTTGTTGTTTTAAATTATCTTGAAGTTGCTCTAAATTAGTTTTTGAAATTTCTTGTTGTTGTGAGATCTACTCCACTGTTAAGCTGGCTTACCTCTTGCTTGAAGATTTATTGAATTTGTAGCAAACTATTCATAATTTCTCGTCTGTTCCTCACGCCTTTCTTTTTCTTCTTCTTCCTTCCTACGGCTTTCCTTTTCCTCTTCATCTTCCTTCATGCACTGTTCCTTTTCCTCTTCTTCCTTCCTACGCTTTTCCTTTTCCTCTTCTTCCTCTTACCTACGCCTTTCCTTTTCCTCTTCTTCCTCTTACCTACGCCTTTCCTTTTCCTCTTCTTCCTCCTTCCTGTACATTTTCTTCTTCTCTTCTATCTTCAAAAACCATTCTAGGGGGCCTGAAGTATTCATGTATGTTTCGTATGCAGTAAATCTAGTATTTAACATGAATAGAATACTTAGGTAACTTTTATTTTGTATACCATCACTGTCACCAAATTAACGTACAACGTCTATCATAAAACTAAGCTGTGACATCAGGATCATCGAATATAGCTCCATTCAACCTTGTCCAACTTTCACGAACCGTCCAGCAATGGGATTCTAATCTTCCAATACAGCATATATCGAGACGCCTATCTTTGTTCGACACACTGCGGTTCTTATATGTAATTTATTTTTCTATTCAACACGTAACATGTCGAGTTCGAACATCTGAAAACATGTACAGATGTTTCTAGACATTCATAGACTGTTCGCTCTTCTTCTTTTATTTGTACGTTTACAACCTAAGCACACTATAGGGTAATGGGTGACATTGCACTTCTTTTATTCGTATGATTTCTATAAAAGCTGCAAACTACTGCAGGGTACAGGGTAATAATAGGAATAGGTAATTATGTAAATAACCTTTTGACTCTGTAAGTAGGTACCGGGTATTTTCAAATTTGCTTATTATATTCTAATACCCTCAATTTTTTGTGAATATTAATATTAAATTATTCTCTTTTTTTTTTTAGAAAAAATGAAGAAAAACATTCCAGTTTTTGTAGGCATAGTTGCAGTGGTATCGCTAATAATAATAGCAATGTGTTTTTATAACATTAGATCCAAATGCATTTATAGGTTTATTCAAGAATTAAAAAGACTGCCGTTTATTGTAAATTGTACCGATAAACATTTTGTCGAATTTGAACACTAAATTAACGAATATTTCCGAATTGGATAAATTAATTTCATTTACAATAAGATTATAAAATAAAAAAATAATGTAGAAATGTTTATAAAATTCCGTATGTGTAGCAACACTGCGTTTCCTCCTAAGAAGATGGCGACGAATCTGCGCAGTTCAGATATTCTGTGGCGGTTTTATGGTAGAGTCATCGAGACAGAATGAAGTATATATGCCGCCTTTGAGAAACCACATCGGATGCATTTTTTACATCTCGAGCGTTTTTTTATCCACATCGGACACATCTGTCCCATTACATTTACATATACTGAATCACGTAATCAAAGATTTACTACATCTCAGATGCATCCGATGTGGATTCTCAAACGCGGCAATAGATACGACATAAACACTATTTTACGAAATGACAGATGAACGCACTTCGAATGATGGAAAAATGTAATCAAAATGGTGACTTAGAGACGAACTCAATAATTTTAATTTCAAGATTGGCGAAATGAAAATGTTTTCTTACTATTTAAACATAGCATCTTCTCTTTATTCTATCTTAATGGGTAGAGTGGACAACTATCAATAGTCGCTACCTTCGATTGTCATCGATGGTCAGAATTACGACTATCGATAGTATTCGATAGTTTCTTTATAATAAAAGGTTTTATTAGAAATAATTTTAAAGCAAATAATATTGGGTAAAAATCCATTGAAAATAAATTTTAACACAACAGCACATTGACGTTTTTTGCCTTAATTTTTAAACGCCGCCTATAATGGTATATTCTAAAGTAGATACATACTAAATATTCTTTGTGACCAGATCCCGGTTTACCTAAATACATAATTAGTACTATTCTAAACCTGAACTTATTTTGTCTTTCAAATGAGAGTGGATCTGTATCCTCAGACGAGTTTTTGTTCGTTCTAAATATTGTCTTCTAAATATGCTTTTATACTTTTTCAAGATTTTATTTTTACAAATGAAAACAAAGTGTTCTTTTTTGATGTTTATCCTGAGATTCGTAAAACCTTTCTTTTTAAATCTTCAATGAAGAATGCTTGAACCGTAGAAATGAAAGGCATTTAGGTTGGTTATCTATTTTTGTAATAATAATCATTTATGTTTATAATTTTGTTTTGTTTATTGTTAAAATATGTAAATATTATGCCAGTGGCGTAGAAACACTATTGGAAAATTAAATGGGGTATTATATACTAGAACAAAATATTGAAGAAGGTGCGCCTTAAAACTGCAAAAGGTATCGTTATCATATTAAAATGCACTCTTCCAGTGTCACAGAAATACTATATTGGCAAATTAAATGGGTATTTGTGAATATTACTAGATGAAAGTAGGTTGGTTATCTATTTTTGTTATAATAATTCATCTATGTTTATAATTGTATTTTGTTTATTATAAAAATATGTAAATTAAGCTTGGTATCACTTACTTGAATTCTAAATCTATAGAGTTTCGTAATCCATTGATTCTGCAGAACTATCACTGGAATCGTCTTTATCGTCGAAACTTAAAGTTATGACTAAAGGTTCAACTACCGTTTCGATCATACCGTCCAAGCGCCACATATTATTGTCTTTCTTAATTACGTGGGAAATAGCATTCTGCCAATCTTCAGGCTTTATACGTTCTATACCGGTCAGGGCCGCCGAGAGCCAGACCGGGCCCCAGGACAATTCTCCAGGTGGGGCCACGCGAAAATTTTGTAAAAAATTAAATAACAAAAAGGTCTTTAAGTTAAAATTTCTCCTCCTCCACTTGAATTTCTCTCTAAAAGAAAAGATCCTCAAGCAAAAATTCTCCTCCTCTACTTGAATTTTCTATAAAAAAAGTCCTCAACTAAAGAACTTCCCCCCTCTTGTGAAAGTAACAACCACCACCACTGCCGGGCCCCCATTTAAGTCCGGGCCCCGGGAATTAGTCCCGGCTACCTCCCCCTCTAGTGATAAGAAGCGTTATCTAGTACAATAACTGAATTTCGTTCTACACGCTGTAATACTTAGTAAATAATTTTTTAAAGCATTCCGCATCCATGTCCTCGTGGTAGTCTCCTGTTTTTTTCGATATAAACACAAGAGCGCTATTTTCCAAAAATCCACTGTCCCTTCCAATATGGGTAACAATTAGGCGCTGTCCTTTACCTGATGGTGCTTTCAAACCTGTAGATAATCCCTTTATAAAAGCTTGGCGATGACTAGTTACAGAAGTATCTTGCCATATCTTAGATAAGCATTCACCCACGTTTCATCGAGATAGTATATCTTTTTTTTAGCGGCTCTAAACTCTTTAATATATTTCGTAAATAACGCCGTCGCCAGGACATTATATCTGACCTCTCATTTGACAAAACGAAATTTTAGGCCTCATAAAATTTTTCGTAAAGTTTCACGGCTCATTAATGGAATTTCTTCGTTTTCTCTTAATTTCGTAAGAACAACTTTAAGTGTTGGGGCTTTGTTTTCGAAAAAAAAAAAGAATGTACAGTTCTTCGAATGATTTGTTTTTGGTTATCGTCCAATTTCAACAATTTTCGACCACGGGTATGCGTTTTGAGGCTTCTAAGGAGCCTTTTTTGTCTTTTCGCATACAATTCGTTTAATTGTTGAAACAGATACTCCAGTTAAAAAAGAACTGCGGTTTACAGCTTCATTTGTAGGAAGTGTATGTTTCAGCCCATCATACACTTTCCATATAATGTTCTTTTCATCCTTTGATAAGGGCGTTCGCCGACGTAATTGGGTTTCACTTGGACCCGCCTCTGAATCCATTACTATTATAACAATGTAATTCTACTATTAAATTGTTTTTATTAAATTTATAAAGACGCCAATATTTTACTATTTAATAAACTTTTAAAGTACCTACCTAATATACTACACAATAAATATAACTCCTCGAATATGCACTACCACTACCAAATTGTAAGGCACAAACATGAACAACTACTCGTATTATATCAGAAAAGAGCACTTATACAAAAAAGTGTTTATAAAATATAAAATAATTATCGTAAATAGTTAAAGCGATACAAATCTAACTTCGTCGAAAGTTAGTTTTCAACTGTCTTTGTGCCTGTGCTGACAATATTCAATCTGTAACCCGTCTGTCGTTTATTTACTTAAAACACATTTTAAAACCATTAAACACAGATAACGAAGTCATTAGGGAATAAATATATTCATTTCTTGAAAACTATCAAAAGCGTATATTTAACGCATCATCTTTGTTTAAATAAAGATGTTGACAAACAAATTTAATAAAGTTTACTAACAAATACCTAATAAATAATTATTTGGTATTTGATACGGCGCCTATGCTGACTCTGTCGGAATTTTCATTCATAGACAACAGTGTTGATCATGCATATGACTCACCTTCTCCAATATTTTGTCCGAGTATAGAACATACTATAATAAAAAGTAACAAAATCAGAACATCCTAAAATTTGTAAAATTCAAATTCCGTTTAGAACTCCCAACCTAAATTAAATTTGACGTATGACATACCACAATACTGTAACCATATGTTGTAGTAAGCTTATAAAGAAATGCCTTAAATCGATTTGATGCATGTAAAAATGTTAAATTCAGAACTATCGATAGTTTTCGATAGTGCTAAAAACTACGATAGTTTTCGCTGGTCTACACTATCGTTAGTGCTATCTATAGTTCTCACCATCTCTATGGCATACAAAGGCTGAAGTAAACGGACCGCAATGTACGGTTTTGTCGATTGCAAAATAGAGTCAATATTATTTCTCAATCCACAATTTCGTCAACCTAAAAGAAAGTTGTCTTTGTTGACTGTAAATGTTGCTCTATAAGAAACTATGGACTGCCAAAATGCAACTGAATAGTGCAAAGTGTTGTTAAGAAAAAGATGATTGGACCCGATGACATCATTCTTATTTTAGACTTGCTTTATTTTTGGCACCCATTACATTCCCATGTTATATTAATATATTTATTTATTAATACAAGAAATAAATTACTAATATAATTATAAATCATTATAAAATAATAAATAAATGGTTCAGTCGATAAGTAAATACTTTAAGATTATAATTAATTTATAATATTTCTAAAAAACATTCAGGCAATGATTGTTTAAAATTTAACTGATGTAGAATTAAAATCGATAAACAGGCCAAATTTTAGTTAATTTTTAAAGAACGAAACCATGTGCTATGGTCGTAGGAAAAATAACATACTTATCTGTACTTCCTTTGCTAGTTTTCTGTTCAGTATTTATTAAATTAGTGATATGAAAATCAAATTAAATTTAAATATATTTATATTCTTGTGTATGTTTTTATATGTATGAATTAAAGTGTTTAGCAAATTTTCGACGTTTTATTTTATATTTTCTTTTCCTATAAAATATTAAATAGATATAAAAAAGTAAAAAGAGGAAAACTCGAAATCCGTATCATAGAAACGTCTCTTTGGCTAATACCGCAACAGGCATTGTATTATATCTGAAAAAAAAATTGCAGAAATAACTTTGATTTTGCTTCCTAAGGATAATGTCATTCTTAGATTTAATTAGGATTGTGGGCCATGTGGTCTCCCCATCTCGACATTTTCAGATATATTGTAAATTCGTTATTCTCGGTCTGGTTTCGTCCTTATTAGGACCCATTAGCAAGCAATATCCAATCTTGATACGAAACTCTAATGGAACCTGCAGAAGGGTTACATGTAGGGTTGCCACCTGTCCTTTTTTCAAACAAATTGTCCTTATGACTTTTCAAAGCTTAAAATGTCCATTTTTACGACACATGTCCTTTTTTACAGCACATGTTCGTTAAAAGGACCTTATTTATAAAAATATAAGCCAGGGCCTTTTTTTTGAAGATTGGCAGAAGAGCCAGGGGTTTATTAAAATATAAGGTAATGGGGAACTTTTTTTTTCGGATCCTTGTCAACGTTATCCCGCTATTTCCTTTCGTAAATCTGGCAACTCTACCCAACCCTACCTTCATTCGCTTTTCAAAAAGGTGGCAACCCTAGATACACGTTACAAATCCCCGCTGATTGGCTGAGGATCAGAAGTAAACAATATATAAAAGGCAAGAAACGCAAAGTAATACTTAGAAAGCAAATTCGAAGCTCACTATAGTAGCTACTTCATAGAACAAGGCGGAATACTAACCAAACTGTTTTCTATGCCAGACTGGCAATAATTATCAAAGGAAATATATTAAATTTATATGTTAAGAA